GGGTTTCCTTGAGGACCTTGAGAAGAGGTTTGCCAAGAATGAAAAGGTTGAAACAAGTACACTTTTGACAAACATTGTCTCAATGAGGTATAAAGGAAAAGGAAACATTCGGGAGTACATTATGAAAATGTCTCACATTGCTTCAAAACTAAAGGCACTCAAGTTGGATTTATCCGAAAACTTGTTCGTGTACTTAGTTCTAATATCCCTTTCAGCACATTTTAGTCAATTCAATGTGAGCTATAACTGTCAAAAGCACTCATGGTCCCTTAATGAGCTCATCTTACACTGTGTCCAGGAAGAGGAAAGACTGAAGCATGAGAAGACAGAAAGTGCTCATTTGGCCAGCACCTCTAAGGATAAACGAAATAAGAAAAGGAAAATTAATAAGGAAGCTGCGAGTACAGTATCGCAAAAGAAAAAGTATAAGGAATCAACTGAAAGTGGTTGTTTCTTCTGTGGAGCTGCAAGTCATAAGAAGAAGAATTGCACCAATTACCACGCATAGCGTGTAAAGAAGTGTATTCTTCTTCATTTGGTTTGTTCTGAGATTAATTTAACTTTGGTACCTAGACATACATGGTGGATAGATTCTGGTGCAACAACTCACATCAGTATGTCTATTCAGGGTTGCTTGAGTTGCCGAAAACCAAGTGATGGTGAAAGATACATCTATGCTGGCGACGGCAAGAAGGTGGAAGTAGAGACAATAGGAAAATTTAGATTATTGTTAAAGACTGGATTTTATTTGGATCTTGTTGAAATATTTATTGTACCGTCTTTTAGACGAAATTTGATTTCTATTTCTATTTTGGACAAATTTGGTTATACTTGTTCATTTGGAAATGGAAAATTTAGTTTGTTTCATGATTCAAAATTGGTTGGTTCCGGCTCTTTATCAGGTTATGATAATCTTTATTCAATTGATACAATTGCTTCTTTTAATGAATCCCTACATGTAAGTACTCGAGGTGTAAAGGAAAAATTAACCGGCGAGAATTCTGCCTCGTTGTGGCACAAGATATTAGGTCACATCTCCAAAAGGAGAATTGAGAGACTTGTGTCAGACGGGATTCTCGACCCTCTTGACTTCACAGATTATGATTTGTGTGTCAACTGTATAAAGGGAAATCAAACCAATAAAAGAAGATTTCAGGCCAATAGGACTTCGGACATCTTAGAACTTATACATACGGATATTTGTTGACCATTCCTTACGGGTTCTTGGAATAGTCAACAATATTTTATAACGTTCATAGACGACTTTTCAAGATATGGCTACGTATATCTCATTCAAGAAAAATCAGAGTCACTGGATGTGTTCAAAAACTATAAAGCTGAAGTTGAGAACCAACTCGGCAAAAGAATTAAAAGCGTTAGATCTGACCGTAGAGGTGAATACTATGGCAGATATGACGGTTCAGGTGAACAACATCCAGGACCATTTGCTAAATTCTTAGAGGAATGCGATATCATCCCACAGTACACTATGCCAAGTTCGCCCACTGATAAGTGTGTTTTTACACACTTATTTGGTTCATAAACATGACTTAAACATGGATAAAATGGTTGAATTGTGACTTAATCCAGTTAAATTCATGCATTGTAGGTAATTCAATGGAAATCGTGGAATTCAGGAGAAAAGAGCCGAAGAAGGACCAAAACGCAACAATTTGATAGTTCAAGGACCAACAGTGCAATTATTGAGAAGTTGAGCTAAATGCAGAACAAGAGTAAAAACATGCCGAGTATGAGCTCAATGACAAAGCAAAACAAGTGGAGGAAGAAAGAATGGAAGATGGACTAAAATGAAGATAATTGAAAGTTGGAGGACTAAAGTGCAAATACTCAAAAGATGTGCCGAATGAGTGGCATAATATTTGAAAGTGTCGATCATCAATTGGAAGATAAGAATTGTTGAAAAGATGAAGAAATCGAAGAAAGGAGTCAAGAGAAGCAACAAAGAAGTTCAGGGACCAAATTGCACAAACCACATAGATGGCTGCTTCTATGCGACCGCATAGTGTAACCTTCTATGCGGTCGCATAGAAGGTTTCAGGGAAATTAATGAGAGGAAAAAAATGATCTATGCGACCGCATAGATTCCTACTATGCGGTCGCATCGTTCAGTTTTGAAATTTCGGGCGTAGTTTTTCGTTTTGGTTGAAACTCCTTTCCTACTTAATTTGGACGCGATATAAATACCCAAAATCATCATATTAAGGAGAGGACCGACCAGGGAGAAGGGAGAGACCAAAATTGGAGGCAAGAAACTTGATTTTGGATTCAATTTCGCACGGGTTCGAGACAGGATTGAAGATTATGCACACGGATTGAAGAAATTCCATACGGGTGTATTCTTATTATCTTTTAATTTCATTTTTCAATTTCTTGATTTTGTAATGATGATTATAGGCTAGGGTTTTTGTTCATTAGGAATTTGATGAACCTTTTGATGATTTAAATTTCCATTATTTCATTAATTCAACAATAGTTTCGATTGGACAAATGTTTGATTTATATGATTTGAATGCTTCCATAATTATTTGGCCAATTGTTATGTGATTGTAGATGATTTGTTCTTTGCATTCGAAAGAAGGGGAATAAATTCGATAGAATATAAATTGACATAGGGTCCGATAGGGGATGGAAACTTACCTCTATGCTTTATGCAATTCATGAAAATGTTCATAAAAAGTCATGCATTCTTGTACATTGCATCATCCATAGAAATATAGGCTGGTGGTGTGTAAGAGTAAATTCAATATATATTGAGAGAGTGTATTGGATAATTTAGGAATATTGAATTGGCATTTTGTTCCATCGATTCGTTGAATTTGTGAAATTAGGGTTTTTAATAGTCAATTGGGGATTCGAGTTCTTAATGATTTCATTTCAATTCATTTCAATACAATAGTTCTAAAATTGCATATTTACATTTTAGTTGCGTGTTTATTTCATTAGATTAGTGAAATTTCGAAATTAGGGTTTCCAATTTTGAAATTAGGGTTTTCTTTGCAATTAGGGTTTCAAATTGGGGATTTCTTCCAAAATTAGGGTTTTTCACATTTAAACCAAATTTTCATTCAATTAGATTCGGTTAAGGTCACATTAGTCTAATTAGAGCTAATTCAATCCTCGTGGGAACGATACTTGGACTCATAATCCATTTTACTACTTGTTAACGAACCGTACACTTGCGGTGGGTTTTAAAATCGAAAAGAAATATTTCGCGAACACCCACTATGAATGATGTTGCTGAAGGATGAAACAGAATGCTTAAAGACATGGTGAGAAATATGATTAGTCATTCTACCTTACCAGAATCTCTCTAGGGTGAAGCATTAAAGGGAAAGAAAAAGAAAATTTCTGCGCTGGAGTTGTTGTTCTCTATTGATTAGGCAAATAGTGCCGTCAAGAAAGTAGCAGCAAAGATCAATACCATAAATTTGAATGGATTGAGTGACAATTTAATAAGCGTAACAAATCACTCCACTAGTGAGATTACAAAATTTGAGTATTTATGTTTTTTTTGGGGAACATTTACTTTTTCTTTTAATTTTCCCGTTGGATTTTAACTTTATATGTTTTGGTTTGTAAGTGATTATGTTGTTAACGTTTTCTCCTAATATACTGGTTACTTTTTGAATACAAATTGTTCACGTGCATATTAGTAATTTTTGTATGTAGTGTACATCATTTTTGGAGGATCTTTCATCACTTGCAAACAAAGTATGATATGTCTTTAGTCATGCAGCAAAATATTTGAATAATTGAGACTTGTACTGAAGAATAAATTAATGCAAATTGTACCAACTTTGTACACTCTTCTATAAATTACTTGCTTCGAAGAAGGAAGAAAAATATGTAAAGTTGCAAGGTAAATAACAACTTTTCTCTTTTATCGAAGGTAAAGCTCATGCATAGAAAAAAAATATCTTCGACTTCTATTACAATGGATGAACTTAACTTTAATTGTGGGGTACTGTTGGGCTCCAACACGAAAGAACTCGGTGCAGAAGAGTTTTTTTTAACCATTTGGCAAATGACGTAATGATGTTGGTTACATTTTACAGAATTGTAGACTACAGTAGTTATATCGTCGATAGGTTCGATCGTTGGCATCTTTTGATTATGCTTGATTCTATTTCTGTTTTAATGATTATTGAACAAAGTGGCATGGCCGCTTAAAGGGTCCTTCCCTTAGATGGTATATGTACAAAGTTATAGGACTTTGATGAATTTAGGGTCCGTTTGATTGCGAAAATAGAATTTGGGTAGAAAGAAAACGAATTACAGGAAGTTGAATTCCTTAGAAATTGTTCTCCTGAAAATTGTAAATTATTGTATTTGATTGGTATAAATATCCACGCGGAAAATGTTGAAATAAAAGTGTTTTTTGGTGTTCATTTGAATTTAATTTATATGAAAATTATCAATTAAAAGGATAAAATTTACTTGTGGGAATTGATTTTCCATGAAAACCAAGAAAATATCATATGTGGCAAGACAACCAAGAAATTCATTTCCATGAAAAAAAAAGCTATCAAACACCATTAAAATTATAGAAAATCTCTCCTATCAAACACACCCCTAGTTTTAGTCAAGGTGAGATGCTCATGTGCCTTAATGGTATCATCTCTCCAATCTTGACGCACAAAGCTCTAATATGATCCTTTGGAACGTGATGAACACATCTTTGCAAGTGGAAATCTTGCAAAATAGCGACAATTTCTATAAAAAGATCTATTTAAATGTCGAGTGCAATGATGAAATAGATATACAAGTTCCTGAAAATTATAGCTCCATGGGGGATACAAGTCGAAGATATCAAATTCAATGTCTTTTAGGGCAAATTTCAATCGGATTTTGGGATTTTAAAGAAAATTTTAAATTATATATGGTGCAGTAGTGACAATTCGAAGAATTTGAAGGACCTTTCTACAAATTTCAAAAAGTAGGATCTTCGAGAAAACTCCTTTACTTCTCCAAAATTCTTCAAGAACGTTTCTTCCTCCTCTAATATATACGTCATATCAATTCTGTCTTACGCTGCAATTCCCAAAAATCGAAAACCCTTAAAACCCTTGCTTGAATTTAAATCAATCAATAAACCAATGGCAATATTATCTGAATACGAAGAAGAGGATCAAAATAAGCCGACGACTTCGTCTGTCAAAAAGGCGCAGTTTAGCGCCGTGCTTGATCCGTCGGACCCGATTGGATTTCTGGAGAGGGTTTTTGAGTTTGTTGCAAGGGAGAGTGATTTTTTCAAGAGCAATTCGTTGGTGAATGATGTGAATGCTGTGGTTCGGATGGTGAAGGACAAAGTGGAAGCCGAGGAGAAGACAAGGAGGAAGGAATTGAAAGCCAAAGAGAATGAAAAGGCAGAGAAGGAAGCAAAGGAGGAGCCGCCAGCTGCTGAGGCGGTGCGAAAGGAAGAGGTGAAGGTAACGGTGGCTGAGAAGGAGGTGAATGGGGAAAGTGAGACCAAAGAGGATGAGAAAAAAGGGCATCGAGGTATTTCCCATTGATTTTTATTTCTTTTTGGCAAGATTGATTTTTATAGACGATAATTCTAAATCTACTATATATGTGTGTGTGTGTACACACACACACAGACACATTACCAATACTTTATTATACTCAGTATCTGCAGTTTTCATGAGAACGTCAGTCTTAGGGGTTTTTGTAGTTCGGTTGAATCTCTATTTTTGTGATTATGAAGAAAATGTGTGTAGGTAGGTGGCCTGGAGAGACGCTGGAGATAGATGCTTTCTTTTTTGGAGTATTCTTCTGTGTTTTACTATAGGAATTGGTTTAGGAAGGTCTAACATAGAAATCCAAATAATTTGTTTGGAGTTGCCTCATGAGAGGATTTAAAATTTAGGTCTGATAAGTGTTGCGTTAGGATCTTTGGTGTTCAATTTTCTACTTTCTGAAAATTTCGTAGTTTTCAAATAATGTCTATGACTCTCCCACTTTGTGTTTATTCATCTAACTTGTGTGTCACAGTCACGACACTTGTTGGACACTTGACATATGTATTATATGTATTTTCCTCCAATGTAATAAATTAGTCTAATTTAAAGTTGTTTGATATAATAAATATATATTTATCCATTTAAAAGATTTCACAAACACATGTTACACCATGATTTTGGATCGGAAGAGAGATTTGAAGAAATGGTAGATCTATTCACTATATCAATAAGTGAGCCTAATTTGGTGTATTGTAAGGGATTTGCCTTTTCTGTTGATCCCTACAGATTTGATCAAAAACAATTCTTGAATGAGTCCAGGATGAATCGGGGGGTTAAAAAAAAAAAAAAAAAAGGAACAAATCTTTATTGGTTCTGCCTCTTATTTTTTATGAAGAGAATGAATCTTTTTCTCGATAAACGATGTTTATCAAACATTGCAAAAAGTTTATCTTTCACAACATTTTGATAAACATTGCAAAAAGTTGTAACCTTTTGCAACGTTTTAATAAACGTTGCAGAAAATGAAGCATTAATGTGGATCGGGTTTTGGGTTAAGAAGGTGGGTCAGGTCGGGTCGGTTCATGGGTTGTCCCAACCCAACCTAACCTGCAGGTCTGCATAGTTTGAAAGAAGAAAAGGATTGAAAACCATGAATACAATTAAATTCCAATTACACAACGCTAATAATTCCCCCCCCCCCCCCCCCCCCCTCCCACCCCCCCCCCCCCCCCCCCCTCTCTCTTCTTCTAAGGCGGGCTGGGATGCAGAGTTATATATGATTTGCATTGATTGTATTATGATGTTTTGCTCAGCTAGCATGCAATTTTGCTTTCAAAGAAACTTACATAATATAGCATCATGGGTTATAATCCTGATGCTTATGCTAAAGAGAAAAGGTTGTACTTGTGTGTTTACCTACCATGCGCTCTTCGTGTTAAGACAATGTTGTGTTGATTACTGATGATTTCCTTGTATCGTACCAGCTCCTAACAAAGGAAACGGTTTGGACATGGATAACTATTCTTGGGCTCAATCATTACAGGAGGTTAACATCACTGTTCCTGTTCCTCCTGGAACAAAGTCAAGGTTCATTACGTGTGAAATAAAGAAGAATTATCTAAAAGTTGGGCTTAAAGGCCAATCTCCTGTCATCGATGTAAGTGGTTTGCACCTTTACACTAGTTCATGATTATCCTGTTGTGCTTTTATTTCTATTGTAATATTCAAGAGTCCAAGTACTGATGTTTTATGTTTTTCAGGGGGAACTTTTTCAGCCTGTAAAGGTCGAGGACTGCTTCTGGAGCTTAGGTAGGTATTATTGCAACTACTACTCTATACAGCTTTCTGCATTACAAATGTACCTCTTCAATATAGCCAATCAATGTTATGATACCTTACTAGATGTATATTTGATTTGTGTTTTGGAAGTGATGAAATGAATGAAACCTATTTCTCAACTTCATGCAGAGGATCAAAAATCCATCTCTATACTCCTAACAAAGCAGAACCAGATGGAATGGTGGAAATATTTAGTGAAGGGTGAGCCCGAGATTGATACCCAGAAAGTAGAACCTGAAAACAGCAAACTTTCGGACCTGGATCCTGAAACCCGTACAACTGTGGAAAAAATGATGGTAGAGTTCATATGAACTTACATTTTACTTGCTTTATTAGATGATAGAGATCACTAATGAAATGGAAAGTCCAAGTCATATTGAACTTTCTGGGTTAGGCTGGCTTGGATGGATGGAAAGGATCGATGTGCTTAACCCCAACTTTTTGGGAACAAAATTTTAGCCTCTTGTTTCTTTTTGTCGGGGAGGGTGAGGAGGATCAGTATTATTGTTTACTTAATTGAGTGTCGAGTGGGCTTCCAATTATGCTCCTGTTTGTCTCTCATTCTTTTGAAACTCTTTTTTTACACTCATTTTCAACCACGCATTCATACAATAAAATATTCTACATGTAAAAGCAAAACTTTTCCCTACTTTTTAACCACATATTCTCAAAAAAATAACTATTTAAAACAATGTTTTTTCCAAGAAAAATGGCCCTCAAACAGGGGCTATATGGTGCATTATGGCCACCACCCACTGAAGAGGACTAGTGCAGGCTGGGCACTTGAAGCAGGTTTTGAGGCACTGTTACTTGTTACCTGGTTTTGGAAACTTTAGGGTGTATTCCACTTCATTTAACTCTTCCATGTGGTCTTGCTTTGTTGTCTTCGATCTTTTGCATTTCTTTGCTTCTTTCAATTTATCTTCTGGATCTTTGTTGTTCTTTTTTAACATTGATGAATTCCTATGATTTTATTTAAATGCTTTCTGCAGTTTGACCAACGACAGAAATCCATGGGCCTTCCGACAAGTGATGAGATGCAGAAACAAGAGATTCTGAAGAAGTTTATGGCTGAGGTGAGAACTGAATGTCCTCTACTCCCAGTTCTTTTCTTGTTTCCTTCGCATTTTATAGGCATTCCAGGTTTGATTATGCGGATAACTGATTTTACCTATCGAATTTGCAGCACCCAGAAATGGACTTTTCAGGTGCAAAGATCAATTAACCAGGATGATAATGTTTACTGGGGCACTCGTGTTACTTGTTTTGCCATATTCTGGGTGGATAGAGTACAATTCGTATTATCATTATGGCTTTCTGCTTGAATTTTAGTGGGCTTTATTTTTCTGAACTTTTTCTAGTATCACATGTGAAGGGTTGGTTTGTTTACTCTACCTAACTGAAATTCAAGTATTTTTGTTGTGGGTATAAGAAGACGGGTGTTCTTTGCTATTTGTACGGTGCTAAGCGTGCTTAAAGATTTTGACTCCAAAGTGATCGTCTTTTATTCCCTTCATTTTCTTACTATTAATATAAAAACAAAAACAAAAGGATAGGACTGATCTGGTTATTCTCTGGTTTTACTTTCTGGAGTTGGCAAGAAAACTGCACCTACAGTTATACCATGCCTGAGGGAAGGCCTAATTGTGCAACTCCTTATGTTCTGCCTGCTACTTCCCTCCTCTTGCTTTACTAGCTTTCCTTTCCAACTTAGAAGCACCGAGTCTTTCCCCTAAGCTGATCCAGCTGATGCGAGAGTTCCAGCTCAAGCAAAAGCTCTCCACCAATAAAAATAAAGCACGACTGCTCTATGAAATCCTTTTGGTTAAAGTAATTCAATGACATCGTGGATTTTCCTTTTTAAAATAGCTCCTTTTGGAAAAGAATAGTAGGGCACTGTCTTTTCAATATTGATAAAATGGTCGCTTTTAAATGTGATAATTGTATATATAAACATTGTGCAGATTGTCATTGCTGTAAAATGACGGATTTGTCACTCTCTTTATATGAATAAAAAAATAATTACAATCAAAGTTTTTTATCTTTTCCGAAGTGGGTAACAATTAAACACATTGAAAAAGGTTGATGCAATTTAGACACAATGGGGTTACAATTTCAGTTTGGATGTCAGTAATGTGGCATTAAAAGACAAGTAGAATTAAATAATTTATTTCATTTAATTTATCATTTAGTGTCATTTAGATTGGAGTTGCAATCCCAATGAAACCACATAATATTACTCAATGGAAAGGGGGGGATTTCTTCTTTCCCTTTTCAATCGCTATTTGCACCCCCATCCTTCCAACTGGCAAAAGACAGAGTTCTTCAAGACGGGCAGTTTAGAGGTCGCAGGTTTGATTCAGGGGGCTCTTGAAAAGTAAGGCTTTCTTCTGAAAGGTAGGATATTTTCTGGAAGGCAGGAGTTCTTTCGAAGACAAGGTGCATACATGAGTTTGACTCGCTCGACACTTTGGCAGTTCAGTTGGGAGGACTTTTGGACCCTGGTCAGTTTGGGGCACAACCCGCAGTTTACCTGGTCTGCGTAAAGAGGGGCTGAATTATAAACCCCAAAATTAGTCGCTGTAAGGTGGACACATGGGTATCAAAAAACAAATAAATAAATAAACATTGAAATTTTGTTGCTTGTTGATTTTGAAAATTTGTCTGAGTCTATTAGAATAATTTGATTTGTTTTTTGCATATACTCAGGAAGCATATTCTCAAGCTTGGTTTTCTTTCCTATTGGGAATGATTTGAACCATTCCCTTGTTATTTATCAGATCATCTGAAGTTTGGGTATTGTCTTTAATTCGGATTATATCTTTGTGAATACAGATTGAATGCGGGGGGAGTGGAAACTATTCTGAATGTAATTTACTTGTTCTTCTAGAGAAGTTAGCAACAAGCAATTCTCTATAGCATGATTACTTTCACATTATCACTGCATTTGCTCCTTGTGTAGTCTTTACCAATAGTTCCACCTACTTGTCAAAGTAGCAATACGAGCATTGGTGGTTTTGGCGTTGTCCAAATCTAGTTACTTTCTTAGAGACTACTTGCTTTGATGAAAACATGGAATGCAATACACTCAAATAGGTCCAATGCTTGTTAAATTGATTATCGATAATGGACCCGTTTGCTTAAAAACTCAGCTAAGATTTAGACAGAGGTGAAAGCCCAATATATAGGTACTCTACCTGGTTATTCTTGCTTATCTCATGATTTGTATATTTGTTCATCAGCTCCTTAAAACTCATTCCAAGCTTCATGGTAGTTTACTAGTTTTCCCACTCATATTGTCGGAATGTAGAGATATCTGGTAGAATTTTTGCTACTTTTGTAGGTAGAAAGAATTTTATTGGAAAATTTTCTTGACAAGTCATTCCCATGTTTCATGGGGTGCCTTTCTTCTTGGCACAGAACGGAACACCGTGCGGCAGTAGTCTGCTCCGCTAGACTACCTTCCGCCTTTTCTCGATCGCGTCGGGACGAAAGAAAATTTGATTGCAATTTTGTAGAAAGCTTACAATTGAGAATTTGAATACATTGAAAGTAAATTGAACATTGATTGCTGAAAACTGAACATTACAATTGATGAAAGCAGAAAATTACAAATGCTGGTGCGGGGGGCGTACACCAGTGAGCTTGAAAGATTTTTGAATGACTAATACCCC